CCACGTTCCAGGGGTACAAAGCCAACCTGGCCAGAACTCACTGTCCTCCTTCTTTAAATCTGGTTTTCTTTCTCCATCTTTCTACCCAGTTGCCTGGGGCAGAAGCCTGAGCAGCTTCATTAGCTGCCATTGAGCACCTGTTCCCAGTCAGGTCCCATGCTGGCTGCTGGGAGTGCAATGTGTGCAAACACACAGGGCCTGCCACACTTGCTGCTGGTGGGAGAAATGCATAGTGACCCATGGTCAGTCCTAGGAAGGTAAAAAAACCAGGGTCCACATTTTGATGGGAGAGACTTCCCTGGGGAAGGACATTCTAACCGAGATCTGAAGGATGATTGGGGACGGGGAATATCCTAGGCAGAGAGAAAAGACTGTGCAAAGTCTCTGTGGTGGGAAGAGAATGCTTGAGAAGTGTAAAGGCCCATGGGCGGGAGTGCTGAGAAGGTAGAACGTCGTGTCAGATGAGGCCAGAGTGAACGGGCTGGATGGTTCGCAGGCAGCAGGGAAGGCCATGATGGTCTCCCTTGCTTTCTTTTTTATTTTTATTTATTTATTTATTTTGTTTCTTTTTTTGAGAGGTTTTTGCTATAGGGCGCGTGCGCTCGCCAGACAGACAGAGAGAGAGAGAGAGACAGAAAGTGAGAAATCACCCCCCAGGGGGATGGCCACGCTGCAATCCCTTCTTCTACGTACTCCTCTCAGGATCTTGGGCATGCACGCACACACGCCCGGCGTGAGTTTTAAGCCACAGGGTCCGGGACGCGAACCATGGTCAACTACGTGGGAGTCCAGCGACATAGTCATTACGCTAACTGCTGGTCCCTCCCCTGCTTTCTTATACCCTTCCTACAAGATCCTCTCTCTTTAGCCCTCTCTAACCCCATTCTCTCTCTCTCCATGCCTAAATCTTCATCTTTTCACCCATGAAGAGTTGAAATGGCCTCTTGCCACCTTCAAATCCATCTTCTGCCTCCAGTCTTAGGCAGTATTTCTAACATGGAAATCTGATTAAGTTGGTCCTCTGGATAAAATCCTCCCCTGGGTCCTCCGTCAGGATAAAGTCCTACCTGATTTCCTTTCTCGTTGGTCCCTCTCACAGTCACTCAAACACTTTATTGGAGCTTTACCGAACTTCTCACATCACCTTAGAGGTGCTGGGCTGGACGCGCCCTGGAGCCTGGAATGCCCTTGCGTCCTTGGTCTGCCTGCTGAAGTCTTGCTTATCTCACAGTCTACAGCTCAGGGGTGCTTCCTCTGGGATGTGTCCCTGCCAGACCAGTTTGCTGGCCTCTCCTTTGTGCTCCTCTGGGCTGGGCACATGCTCACGCTGGCTGCAGCAGCTACCCTTTCCCTCCTCCCTCACTTGTTTACACGCACGCACGTCTCCTCTGCTAGAAGGCAAACTCCTCAGGGAGGGTGGAACCTGGGCTCGTTTTTCTTTGCCTTTCTGGTGTCATGGGGCTGGGTGCAAATTAGGTGTTTAATAAATGTTTTCTTGAATTGAAGACCTGGTGTTGAAGGAATGGCATGGTACAAGCAGGTGGCAGAAAAGGAAACTCCAGCCAGAGGGCTCTTCATAAAGGAGTCTGGCTTCCAGGACCTCCATGTGCTGTCTGGTTCTAATTCTTCTAATAACCAAACACAGGTCTCAGGGCTGCCTCCCACTGGCCCCCGCCTGCCACGTCTGTCTGTCCAGAAAGGCAGGGGACACAGGGTGGGTGGAATGAAGCCTTATTATATTCAGTCTTCTAGGATAGTGCTCCCCAAGTCTGAGTGTGCATCAGAATTCCCTGGAGGCTCATTAAAATACAGATTGCTGGGTCCCACACCCATAGTTTTTGATTAAGTAAGTCAGAAGTGGAGCCCAATTATTTGCATCTCTAAGTTCTCAGGTGATGGTGTTGCTGGTCTGGGGACCACTCTGAAAAATCTCTGTCCAGGTGAAAGACTTTGTTCTGAAAATTAATAGTCCCTACAGTGTTGGGAAAGGAGACAGGAGGCTTTTTGCTTGGGTTTGGCCTTGTAGGCTTTAAGACTAATTCACCTGGGATTCATGTCAGTAGATGGTTCAGATCTACAGCTCACCTACTCGCCCATCTCCGGGCCTTCCCACCAAGGGTGCTCATTCATCAACCACTCAGCAACTGTGCTGTGAGGGTGCAGTAAGCGCATGGCAACTCAGGAGGCGGAGTTGTTGATATCAAGATGAAATCAATATGAAACTGTCCTTAAGAGAAGTCCTCCAGCACACACACCTGTAATTCAAAGAATCTGAGGGAGAAATGCTTGCTCTGATAAGTAGTGAGTTCCCCCCTACCCCCATGGAGATGTTCCAGAACAGGCTTCTATAGTATTAGTGGGAATAAAATAATTCTATAGACCAGATGACCGTTAAAACCCTGAAATTCTGTGATTAAGGAAAACGGTGATGGCTGACATAATGAGATGGCATGAACAAAATGCTATGGAGTTTATTTATTTGTTTAGACATGGAGTGTTCACGGGAAGACCCACAGAGGCAGCTGAGGTCTCCTTATGTGAATACTGATAATATTATTACTTTTAATAAACATTTATTCCTCACCAACAGTAATGCTTGGTGAATACATGGATTTGTATCCAGTGACCCCATAATTTGCTGCTTGTTGACCTAAGTTCATTTAAAAGGTTAAATAAAGCCACAAGTAGGGCCAGAGTGTACCTCTGGGACCTCTTTGGGTCCCGCTTCCTGAGTTACATGGAATCGAGATGCATAATAGTTCCATTTATTTATTTAGCAATATTTATGAGAGAGAAGATGTAAATAGTTCATTGTAGCCTTGACTTGATGGTTGCTAGATCACCAACTTGAATTTCAGGCTCTCATCTTACTTTATTTGCCCCAGATTCCACAGTGTGAAGACTAACTCCCTTTTTTGGGAGGGCCCAGCACCTAAGATGTGGCAAACAAAGCTGATGCCCCCTGCCCCTCACTTACCATTTATTGAGCATCTGTTATGTGTTGGGTACTGAATGAGATACTGTACAAATACTATTTATAACCACTTTAACTATCCTTCAAGAATTATTATCCTCATTTTCACATAAGAGAAAAGGTTCGAAGAGATTATGTATCTTGTCCAATTTCATAGAGCAAAACTCCTCAATTTATTCTTGGAAGTCAACATAACCATAAAATTTAAACCTGATAAACATCCAAAAATTATAGATTTATCTCAAGTCCAAGTACAGATGCAAAATGTAATATTAGCAAACAGAATGTAGAGTATATCAAATGAATAATATACTCGGACCAAATGAAGCACATTCTAGAAAGGAAAGGATGCTTCAATAATAGGAAATGTTAGGAAATCAACATAATTCACTATATCAACAAACTAAAGGAGAGTTATATATCAATAGAAGTTAAGAGGGCAGTTGATAACATTCTCCTATAATAAAACTTTAAAGCAGAAATAAAAGGAACTACTTAGATTTGACAAAGACTAAAAATTAGGCCATACATCATTCTAAATTGTGGACCACTAAATCTAACTTCATTAAAATAGGAAGTGCTTTCTTTTGCTATTTGTAAGTATTGTCTTAGTGCTTTGTACAAATGAATGAGGCTCAGATAAACTAGTTACGTAAATATGAGAAAGAAGAGATAATATTATCTGTCTTTGCCGATGGTTGTATACCAGAACAATCGCAAGAGTTTAGTAGAAAAAGAATCCCTGCCAGAAGTGATGAGGGGTTAGGTAAGATAGCAGGACTTCACCTCTTCTTCATCCATCAGGGGCACACCTGGCAAACTTGGGCAGCTGGACTGGGATTCGAACCCACGTCTGATGCTGAAGTGTTATGCTCAATGGTATTACTCAGTCATGTCAGTGCAGGTAGACAGGAGAGCCTCTCAGAACTTGTAACTCCCAAATGCTTCAGCAGAGCAGGGGGGTTTGCTTTGCTAAAAAGTAGGAGGACAGGAGGTTGGTGGGGGTTTTACTGTGAAGACCCCCGAGGCTTCTGCTCTCTGCACTATGATAATCTCCCAGGGGCTAAAATATTGACCTGTGTGCATGGGGAGGTTGATGGTAGTAGGCTGGTCTTAAGCCATTTAGCCAGACTTCTGCATCTCAGATACTGAGCAGCCAACCAATGCAATAATAGAACCTTTCTTCTTGGCTCCAAGAAGCCACATGGTATTGCTTGTTGCCTCTGTCTTAAGCTGCCCCATTTGAGAGGTGGTGCTTTTGAGAACACCTTTTGTAGATTTTGGTTATCTGAGGTCACCCAAGGCATCAAGGTTAAAAGACCTTGTTGCCATGTCCCCTAGTTATTCCTCAGCCTCATGATTTTCATGGTGGAGGTGGAACATGTTTTCTGGCACAAAAATCACTGGTTAATACATCAAAAGTGTTATTCATATAACATGTTTCATATGGAATCAGCTATGGGGTGGCAGAAGGAACACTGTATCAAACTCTGGAGATGTGGGTTCTGATGGCTCTCCCATAGCTAGCTGTGTGTTCCCAGGCAACTCACTGAGTGTCCTTGGGCCTCACCTGCTTCTTTGTGCCTCCGTGTGTGGGGTTGGATAGACTCCCAGTGCCCTTTGAGTTCAGAGTTAAAATAATGGTCACCCTTAACTGTGCGTCCAGCACGGTTCTAAGTGCCCTGCATAGATGTTAGCTCATCATAACAACTGTATTGGGTAAGTACGGGTGTTCCCATTTATCTCTGAAGGCAGGTTAAGTGACTTTTCTAGGATCTCACAGTTAGGAAGTGGCAGAGCACTCATACAGCTCTTAACTTCTCTGCTCTCCTTTTATGGTTTTCTTTACATGGGCCTGTATTGGTTCTATCATGTGTTGGGGAAAGGGTATGTGGGTGGAAGATGGTTTTCAAAGGAAGCCTGGATGTGGGGTGGATGGGTGGGGGTCACTGGCTGGGAGAATGATGGTGGCTGCAGAGGTGGCTGACATTTGCATCTCCACCTTTTTTTTCCTTTTCCTCTCTAGTCTGTGGCAAGCGCTACAAGAACCGGCCGGGACTCAGCTACCACTATGCTCACACTCACCTGGCCAGCGAGGAGGGGGACGACGCCCAAGATCAGGAGACTCGGTCCCCGCCCAACCACAGAAATGAGAACCACAGACGTGAGTCCCCACTAGTTAGGTTGGGCCAGTGAGGAAGTTGGGTGGGTAGAGTTGGGAATATTCCTTTTTTTCTGCTCTGGGATCTTCTGGTGGTAACCACTGATGGTCTTAACATCACGTAGTGAGATGGCAACTTTAGCTCAGCCATCTCTGCCCATGTGGCTCAGCTGAGCTCCAGACTTAGTGTGGGCTGGGCAGGGCTGAAACACTCAGCTCTGTTCCCAGAGGAACGAAGGTAAGTGTGAAGCAGAAGGGAAAGGGCTTTTGCTGGCCACCATCGAATCCCAGACTTACTACTCTTTTTTTTTTTTTTTTGGAGAGATTTTCGCTATAGGGCACGTGCGCTTGCCAGACAGACAAAGAGAGACATTAGAGACAGAAAGTGAGAAATTCCCCCCCAGGGGGGATGGTCACACGGCAATCCCTTCTCCTTCATTCTCCTCTCGGGATCTTGGGCACACATGCACAATCGCCCAGCATGAGTTTTAAGCCACTGGGTCCGGGACGCGGACCGCGGTTGACCACGTGGGAATCCAGCGACATAGCCATTACGCTAACTGCTGGTTCCCTACTAGTCTTTTCACTCAGCTCCAGAAGTCCCACTTATAGCTCCTAAACTGAGCTGGGCATAGCCTATGAGTTTGCCAATTTGAGTAGCTATTCAAGTGTCTGCTTGGCCACTTAAGAGCCTTAGATATTATTGAAGTTTTTTCCCCCCGAAGCAGAGTCTTGCCATATTGTGATCCTCCTGCCTCAGCCTCCCACAGGTGTGCACCACCATGACTTGGCCTTTGCTTGGACTAAGAGTCAAACCTGGGCCTCCCATGTGGTCTTAGTCTATGGAGCACAGCATCTTGGTAGCATGTGCCATCATGACTAGGCCTTTAGACTTTCTTAATCTATTGCTGTGGCTTTGTATCAAGGGGTCATGATTCTGGAAAGGGCTCTCCTGCCTGGAGCTTCCATTCTTTCTTTGAGCACTCGAATGGCAAATGTGACCAGGTTGGCCTTGTTTGGGATGTTGGACGGGCTCTGGAGACCCAGAATGAAGATTCATGTTTCCATTTCAGTTCCTTCTTTCCTTCTTCAACTTCCAATTATGAATCAGGAGATCAAAAAGGGGCATTGCATTTACCACTTGACTTTCTTCTGTGACATCTCTAGTGGCCCCTGGGCCTACAATGACCTCAAAATGCAATGGGGTAATGGAATTTCTAGTTTGCTTCAAGATGTGGGTCATTCTGAGATCACTTGGCAAATAATATTTGTGGATGTTCTGTGTGTTTTTAATTTTGTTTACAAACTTGGTAAGTCTGTTTAAAGTGAACAGTTCAAGGCAAGCAAAGAGATTGAACCTTTACAATATTCAACCTCTAGGATTCGAGGATGACTCCTGTACATTTCAGTTAGCCAACTTAGTCAACTGGTGTCAGTTGACTGCCTTCACCAAATATTTGAAATAATTAACACACTTGTGGCCAAGATCTTTCTCTGGATTAGTGTGTGATTTTCCTACTCCCCTTCATTATTTTGCAAGGGCTTCCCTAACAGAGTACAACAGAGTGGGTAGCCTAAATAACAGGAATTTATTTTCTCACAGTTCTGGAGTCTGGAAGTCCAAGATCAAGGTGCTGGTAGGCTGGTTTCCTGTGAGGGCTCTCTCCTTGACTTCTAGATTGCTGCCCTCTTGCTGCCTCTTCACATGGTGGGGTCCTTCTGTGAATGCATGTCCCTGTTGTCTCTCTTTCTTTTCTTTTTTAAACTTTATTTATTTCTTCCATGACACACACACACATACATACATGCCAAACAGGGTTGTTATGCTGTGATCTACCCCTAGTCTCAGCTGGCCTGGATCACAGACATGCACACATATGCCTGTGTGCTCAGGGAGATCCTGGGACACAAACCCAGGACTTTTCTCATGTGGGTCCAGTTGTACTACCATTGTGCTACCACCTACTCCAGTGTCTCTTTTGGCATCCAAATTTTCTCTTTTTATAAGAATACCTGTAAGATTGGACAGTAGGGCCCACTCTAACAGCCTCATTTTAACTTATCTTTTTAAATGCTTCTTTAAAAACCCTATCTCCATCTGTAGTCATATTCTGAGGTATTGTGGGTTAGGGCTTCAACATATGAATTTGTGGAGAGATGCAATATAGCCCTAATGTCTTTTAGTTTCTTTTCATGTGCAAGGTCCAAACCTTTTGTGTGATAGACCCTTGTTTTCTCATCTACTGTTGTCACCTAGACAGAATCTGAGAAGCAGGTCTGGGGTGTCTGGCAGAGCCCTGTCCCTCTCTTTTACCTCCTGAGTAGCTATAACACCAATGTCTCTGTCTTCTCTTTGGGAAGAGACTTTCTTGGTCTAGTCACCCTCATCTTTCAAAAAGGAAAATATATTGACCTGTACTGAGGCAACTGTCATTGACTTGTCCCTCCCTTCTTTAGTCTAAGTGACCAAGAGGCCACGAAGAGCTGCTGTCTTCTGCCACCGAGTACATAAAGATCTCCTTTGGCTTTTCTTGCTATCTGGAAAGCATCTATTAGCAATCGTTGCTCTCTCTGAGGTGTTTGTTAGCTTGGTATTATTTACACCCCGCTCCCCAAGTGCTAGCTTTTCTCCTTATATCTCTTCTCAAACGTCAGGCTATTCTGTTCCCATGTGCCAGTGCTTTATCCTCAGCTATAGAACTTGGAACTCTTCTCTTTTGTCTGTGTCTTTTTTCCCTAGGTCTCCTGCAGCCACACTACAGTGAATGTTGTGTGCATGTGTGTGTGTGTGCGTGTGTGAGTGTGTGCATGCGGGGCGTTGGCACCAGCGGAGGGGTTGTACTGTGGACCTCATGTGGAACGATGTGATCCTCTCCTCCTTAGCTATTTTTGTGACTCCCTCCAGGTTGGCCATTGGCTTCTGAGACTGGCACTGGAAAATTTTATCCTCCCCTCCTGCACCCTCATTGGTAGTGTCTTTGGCTCCCTTGTGTCCTCCCATTGAGTCTGGATCAATTTGCTTAGTAAGAAAGCTGTGTCGGTCTTACCTCCTTCAGAAATCTTTGGTTTGGGGACCAGCAGGTGGTGTAGTGGTTGTGTGGCTGGATTCCCATATGGCTAACCATGGCTCGAATCCTGGACCTGGTGGCTCAAAAATCATGCTGGGCACATGTGTGTGCATGCCCGAAATCCCGGGAAGAGAATGAAGGAGAAGGGATGGTGGTGTGGCCATCCCCCCTGGGGATTTTTAATGTTTCCTTTCACTGTCTCTGTCTCTCTGTCTCTTTGTCTCTCTTTCTCTCTGGTGAGCACATGCGCCCTAGGGCAAAACCTCTTTTTTATAAAAAATCCCTGGTTTGTCATGAGCATGCATGCTCCAACTCTTTTTTTCCCCCTTTCTGTCTCTTAACCTTATGATGAAAAATTAGGTTCTTCAAAAAGGATCATTTGACTGGCTAAGAGTTTGAAACTTCATAGAAAAAAATAGCCGGACCTGGGCTGATCTGGGTGTTTCCCATACAAAGAAGGTTCCATACATTTTCACTGACATCTCCTCATAGTGCTCTCTTGGAAAACTCTGTGATTTGATCCAATTTTGCTAGTGAAGAGGATTCTGCAGAGAGGCCTTTAGTGCCCACAGAAGCTGTCCTTCCCCCAGTCCCCAGTTTCTTTGGTTAAACCCAAGACAGCTGTTCCTCCTGCTCTCTACACCACACACATCACTGAGTGGTGTGCAGCTCTAAACGTGTGCTCGGTTCCCTCCCACATACCCCTGGTGAGCGGCCCCCCAACCAGTTTCTTGTGAGCACTAATTGTCAGCATCATTAATACCCAGTCATTAGCTGCTCCCACTGTTTGGGGGTGGGGGGTGGGCTCTCATCCATCCTGCCCCTAAATGCCATTGGGGCTGAGTGGTGAATTGGATGTGACAGCTCACAGCATCCCCAGGTCTCAGCTTCCTGATCCTCCCTTGGCAAGGCTGTTGGAATGGGGGAGGGAGGCAGGAGAGCTTAATCCAGGAGGCTAATCTGCAGTGCCCCCAGGAGAAGGTCCCACACTAGTGAAGTGGAAATGCTGACTTTTCCCCCTTTAGCAGAGCTGCAGGGTGACCCAAGCTGCTTCTGAGCGGGGGACTAATGGAAAAGAGTTCCATAGACTCAGGAGTTTGCAGGGTCATGGGCAGCTGGGCGCGCCCCACCTGCAGCAGCGAGACCTTTTGACTTTGGTCCTCCTGCTGTCCTTTGCTCCGTGCCCCCCAGCTGTGTCTTCAGCAGAGTCCATTGCTCATCCCCGCGCCTGCTGCTACTGAAAGGGCAGAGTGGTGAGCTGGAGCCAGCATTGACCTTCCCCTCCCCCAGTCCCTGCTGCCCCGTGCTGCCAGCTCAGCAAGTGACTGCCACTCCTGTCCTTCTGCCCCTCCCCGCCGAGGAGGCTCCCTCTCGCCTTTGTTTCTCTCCTAGTCTTTCATTTTCTCCTGAGTGTACATTTCTTGTGTCTCCCGCGGACTCGCCCTTTTTCCTTTGTGCCCTTGCCTCTCTGCCTCAACTACTGGTCGCCAGGGATACTTGGAGCTCAGACACTCACTCTTGGGGGAGAGTTTTCTAGTGGGGTCTTCCTGCTTGAGCCGCTGTCCTTCCTCCCCTTGTGTGAGGCTGGATTCTTCTTCTTCCCTCCATTTCACTTTCATCTGCTTTCTCCAAGTAAAAATGCTGTGTGTGTCCATGTATGTACATATATATGTACAGAGACACTATATGCACATCTATACACACATGAATTAAGGGAGGGAGGGCTGGGGAGGTTGACTCTGAGAGGTGTCACTCAGAAGCATTCTTTGTGACTCTTTAAATGCAGCCTTGGAAAACTGCCATGGTGGGGCCAAGGCAGCAGAAAGAATTCTGCACTGTAGAATTCAAAACCCCGTTGACATGAGCTCACAACATCAAAACTCGTCTCGGATTTCTTTTTTTCTTCTCTGCACAGTAAGAATCTGTTATAAATGA